GGAGGAGGAGGAGGAGGAGGAGGAGGAAAAAGAGGACGAGGAGGAGGAGGAGGAGCAGGAGGAGGAGGAGGAGGGATGAAAAAGAGGACGAGGAGGAGGAGGAGGAAAGAGAGAATGAAAAAGAGGAGGAGGAGGAGGGCCCCAACGCCGAGAGGCGGGGCGTCGGGATCTCTTCCGAGGAGATCCCACCGCCCAGCCTGTGAGCTGGGGCCACGGGGCGTTGTTGTGGGCAGCCCGACGCCGTGGCGTCTTGTGTTGGGCCACCGCCCCCACGACTCTCCGTTCGGATGCAACTCCCGAAAGGTCAGATGCTGCTTCTGCCCTGTCCGAACTCCGGCTCAATCCAGCTTCAGCCCGCCGAATCCGCCTCAGTCCCGCTCAATCCGGCTCCATCCCGCTGCATCCGCGGCCCAATCGGGCGCGGCAGCCCCCGGATGGGCCTTCACTCTCCCCAATCCTTCCGACGAAGACCTCCCGAAGGAAGGCGCCCAGGAGGCTTCAGACCCTGGAGGGCTTCTTGTCTGATGCGGGCGGCGGCGAGGTCCAGGGCCAAAACCCACGATTATTGGAGCTCGATTTGGCTTCCAGACCCTGGACTCCTCACCCAAGGGTTCCTTATCCAATGCCCTCGCCGTAGCTGCCTCTACGGGGCGTGAAAACGACCACAGCCACTGCTTTTCTTTTGATGCCGCCTTCCAGCCCGCAGCAACAAAGCAGTGGTTGTGGTCACTTTCGTTGAGCTAGGCACCAGGGAAATGACCACAACCACTGCTTCTTTTTCCGCCGGCTGGAAGGCGGCGCAAACAAGAAGCAGTGGCTGTGGTCATTTTCCCGTCCCGCAATCCTACAACTCCTGAGCCTCTGGGCGTCGGAGGCCCGGGCCGCACACACCCTCACCGCACATATCGATGGCGCTCCTCCGCGGCGCCCTGCTCGCGCTGCTGGCGCTGCCGCCCCTGGCCGAGGCCCTGCAGCCCGCCGCGCCCGGCGCGGCGCCCGGCGCGCCCGGACCTCCGCGCCGCCCGCCGCCGCCCGCCGCCGCCCGTCGCCCGTCGAAAAATAGTCAAAACATTTTTTTTGTTTCCAAAAAAAAACCTAAAAATATAATTCCAAAAATAGTCAAAAAAATGGTAGGTGGGCGATTTTTGACTATTTTCGAGTCTGATTGAATGTGTGTTTTGAGTCTGTTTCATTTTCCGCCCGGTATTCCCCCCCTGTAGAGGGGGACATGCCCGACCCAACGCCAGGCGGGGCCTGGCCTTACGTCGGGCAGGTCCCTCCAGAGGGAGGAATGGTCAACACTAGTCTGGGGACGATGTTTCGATAAATGTTTTGACCATTTCCGGATGTGTCTGATCATGCTCCCCCCTTCCCTCTCAAATCTGGACGCCCGAAATGGGTACGGAAAGAATGGGTACGATGCCCAACAGCAGTTCCTGTTCTTTTTGCACAGGACTCGCTGTCCACGCCGCCGCGGCCTGTGTCCATTCGAGACAGAAGGCCGCCTGCCCAACAGCGGCCGCTGTTGGTTCGGGACAGCATTTGTTGTTGGGCATAGTACCCATTCTTTCCGTACCCATTTCGGGCGTCCAAATCAAACTCCGCCCGTTGGAGGACATGCCCGACCCAAGCCTGGCGGGGCCTGGCTCGCCCGGGCCTCCGTGCCGACGTCGCCGCCGTCGCCGTCGCGTCGCCCGCCGTCGCCCGTCGTCGCCGCCGTCGCCCGCCGCAGCCGCCCGTCGTCGCCGTCGCAATCGCCCGACGTCGAGCGCAACCTCTTTGAGGGAAACTGTGTGGAGGTGTCCGCTGCTCACGGGGGCCGTCTGTGGGCCCCGGGCCATCAGAGAGCGACCCGCGACGAGGAGCCGATGGGGTCGAGGTTTCCTTCGGAGAGGGCGGGGAGTGGGGACCCAGCGTCGCGAAAATAGCCAGTTGCTTGCGGCAAGTCCCGCCACCGTGCAAGGTAGCATTCCCAGTGGCAACTCTTCGGGGGCGGACGGAAGGCCGTCACGTGTGACACCTCGTGTCTCCAGAGATGGCAGAGCCGGAGCATGTGACACAGTCTTCCACATCGTGTCGGGGGTTCTCTTCTCGTCTTCGTCGTCTCCCTTCTGTGCGTGCTTTCTTGGGCACCTGTGGGGCAGTCTTGGGAGTCCCCTGGGCCATCTTGGAGTCCTCTTGGGCCGTCTTGGGGCTCTGTTGGGCCGTCTTGGGGCCCTTTTGGCCTTTTGGAGACCTTTTGCGCCCGTCGTGGGGCTGCCTTTGGGGCCGTCTGGGGCCGTCGAGAGGCCCTTCCTGCAGACTTGGGACCCGCCCTCTCGGGCTGGCTTTGGGCCGCCCCTGGCCGTCTAGGGTTAAGTCGGCCACGCCCCTCTACGGGAGGAACCTTGAAAAATAGTAAAAAAATAGTCTGGAGACGATGTTCTGACTATTTCTTACCATTTTGGTGCATTTTTGTATTGTTTTTCATTTTTCGTCCAAAACCCCCCTTTAGGAGGACACGTCCGACCTAAGTCTAGGGGCCTTCTATTGGGCTGTCTTGAAGCCGTCTTGGAGGATCATTGTGCCCTCTGGGGGCCCTCTTGGGCCGTCTTGGGGCCATCTTAGGGGGCTCCCGGGGCCGTCTGGAGTTGAGGGAAGTTCGAAAAGGTGAAGTCGCTGTTCTCGTGTTGTAGATTCTATGGCCTGGGCCTCTTCGGAACTTCTGGAGGACCTCTTGTGGCCCTCTTGGGCCGCTTTCGAGGTTGGGGCCATCTTGGGCCGTCAGGAGGCCATCTCGAGAGCCATCTTGGAGGCATCTTCGGCCACTGCGACGGCCTGGCTTGTCTGCCTCGGGCGTCTTGGAAGCTCCTGCCAGGCGATCGCAAGCGTGGATGCTCACTACCAACCAGACCACCCCAACCCAACCCGAAGGCTTCAATTTGCCCTCCATTTCCAGTGGGGGGGGGGGTCGGGGGACATTGAAAAAACACATGGAACCCGTACCCCCCCCCAACCCGAAATTCGAGTCCAATTCGGGTCTTCGGGCTGGGTTGGGGTGGTCTGGTAGGTAGTCAGATCCAGGGGGCGTGGATCGGCGGCGGGCCCCGCTGCCAGGGGAACGCCCGGACGTCTGCCGCCGCCGTGCGGGGCCGCGCCGGCCGCACTTTTGGGGAGGGCACCTCCTCCGATCCGTGGATCTGGCGGCCGCGCGCCAGAGCCATGGATCGCCAGTCGATGTCCGCGCGCCCCCGAGCACGGGCGCGGAGCCAGCGCGTTTTGACTGGGGGTCGTGGCCTCTGGAGCTCGGGCTAACGTTAAATCGGGCCTGTCCCCCTACAGGGGGATTTTCGACGAAAAATAAAAGAATACACCAAAAATAAACAGAAAATAATCCAAAAATAGTCTGGGAACTATTTTTAAAGTATGTTTTGACCTTTTGGGGGTATTTGCGGGGCATTTTTTATTTTTCGTCAAAAATCCTCCTGTAGGGGGACAGGCCCGACATAAGGCTAACGAGGGAAGGGGGGGGGAGGGCGGTGCACGCGACGAAGCGTGAGGAGCTGGGACGGCTTTCTGTTCCCCGTGGAGTTGGTGTTCGGGAGTGCGCGGGGTTAGCCGATCTTTGCAGCCACGCTGCCCGCTCCCGCGCTCCATGTCCTTCTCGTCGTTCCTCTTCTTCCCCCTCCTCCACCTCCTCCTCCTCCTCATCATCTTTTCTTCCTCCTCCTCCTCCTCCTCCTCCTCCTCCTCCTCCTCCTTCCCTCCTCCTCCTCCTCCTCCTCCTCCTCCTCCTCCTCCTCCTCACTCCTCCTCATCGCTCCTCCTCTCCTCCTCCTCCTCCTCCTCCTCCTCCTCCTCCTCCCCCTCCTCCTCTATTCCTCGTCCTTGATCTGGCTCTGGCTTTCGCTCTTGGTGGCAGTGCGAGCGGCTTTTGCGGGTGCTGGCCGATTCGTTCCCGTGAGCTTTCCCCCTTTCTGGGCTAAGACTACCACACCGTGTGACCCCAACGTGCCAGGGGGGCACCGTGGCGGATCACACGGCGTCGAACGTCCCTGGCCAGGCGCCGCGGGCAGGGGCACCGGGAGCCGCGGAGACAGCTGCGCCGCGTCGTGCGGGTTGCAGCGGGAGGCCTGGAAGATCAAGTGTGTGCTCCCGGAGTGCGCTGGCTGCAGCGAGTGCTTCTCGGGCGGGCGGTAAAGGGGGGTGACCCAAGTTTCAGGAGGGAAAAAAACACAGACACAATTAATCGTCGATTTCCCAGAAAATATGGGAAAACATGGGAAGTGGGGGGGAAGACAAAAACCCAGAAAATATTGGAAAATACAGGGAATCTGTTTATTTGTGCGTATTTATTTGTGGCCCAGGGCCCCTTCATAGTTGGGGGCGAAGGGAAGGGCCCTCAAGAGGCCCCCTCGGGCGCCTTTTTGGGAGCCCGCAGGGGCCCACACGGGGCCCGGCAGAGGCCCTGTTCTCCACATGCTCCTTGGTAGCCAACCCGCATTGCAGGGATGGGCAACCTTCCCAAGGGTACCCCTGGCATCCTCGCCTCCTCGGCCCCTCCTTGGCCTCTTCCGTGGGCCGCGCCCCGCTCGGCCAGCTTCGGCATGGGCGCCCGAGGCCCTTTTGCATCCCTGTGGCATCCCTCGGCTATAGGGCCGGCTCTGTAGGCCACCCCCCGTGACCGCCCGCCCGAGCCTCCACGGGTTCCCCCCGCCTCCCGGGTGCCCCCCCGGCGGGTGCCCTCCCGGCGGGGACCGGTGAGCGCGCGCCGCAGCCGCCGGAGCGCCCGGGGCGCGCGGCCCTCTGCGCCCCCTCTCCTGCGGCGGGCCGCCAGGCGCGCCGAGGAAAGGGGGGTGGGGGTGGGGCCTGCCCCGCAGGGCCTTGGCGGCGCGCACACGGGGGTGGGGGGAGGGGGGAGGGCTTCTTAGAAGTGCCCCTGCTTCTTAGGATGCGCGGGCCTTCTCTGCGGATGTCAGGCCGGCGCCTTCCAAGAAGCAGCCTCCTTCCAAGAAGCCCTCCCCCCTCCCTCCACCCCCTTGTGCGCGCCGCCAAGGGTTTGCAATCGAAGAATCTGCTAAAACGCCATACGCATAAACTCTTGGCGCTCCGCGCGGATTTCTTGGGTCTGCGCCGGGACCCCCCGGCGGCGCCTCCGGCGCCGCCCTTGGCGCGCTCCGCGCGCCAGGGAGGAGGGTCCAGCGCAGGTACAAAAAATCCGCGCGCAGCGCCAAAAGTCTCTGGTTATGCCGTTTTTCCTTCTATGCAAGGGACCCCCAGATCCGGGCCTCGCGGAAAACTGCGGCGGGTAAGCCGACGACCACCCCACCCGCCCCTTCGTTCTTCACGACTGCACGTAAGAGTGACCCTTCGCCAGAGTGACCATTGGGTGCTGGTCCACTCGGGCCCCCCGATCGCAGAGCGCGATGCGAAAGCAGCGTCTTGCGCGCTTGGGTTTGGCCCCCCGCGGCCCCCCAGAGCCGCGCTCCAAAGGTCACTCTTGCTCAGGGTCACTCTTGCGCGTAGCCGATCTTATCCGCAACCGCGGGAGCTATAGATAGGCGATGAGGGTCACAGAGTGCCCTTGTAAGTTTTACAAGAGTTGTCGAGAGCTATCTGCCGCCCAGGGTGAAAAAACTGTTGGCGAGGGTGCGGCTTGCGCATGACGTCGGCCCTCAGGGTTGGCCTTTTCGAAGACGCCCTACTTGCTGGATCTCGCTTGTACAGAGGCCCCGAAGGGGCTGACCCCTTTTACGCAACTCCTGTCCTCTCAGAATACCCCCCCTCGCCCTCCCCCCCCCCCCAACATGCGTTCAAAACAGGTCCTCAGACCCCTCCTGGGGCCCATCTGACTATTTTTTCGAGTCGCGTCCGACCGAGGCGCCAATACGTTCCAGAAACGTCCCAAAAACTCCAAAGCGGCGACGTCATCGTCGTCGCCGATGCCCCTGCCATCTGACGTCGCAATAGTTCCGTCCAGTGGCCCCCTGGAGATCTCGCCCCCTTCACGGGGGGCGTTTTCCTACCCTGGTGACGGTCCCGCGGCAGGGAGGTTGCTCCCACCGCCGACAACGTGTTTACGTACACACGGTCGGGATCTTCAGGATGGCGTGTCGCTCCGCCGTTCCTGGCCCACCACGCTTCGGCGCGATACGCTGCGATCGATGTCCCAGTCCACGGGCGTCAGCGTCCCGAGCCTTGCCCAGCCTTCCGCCCCGCGGAGCGGAGCGGAGCGGAGGGACAGCGTGTCACCAGGGCCGCCGACGCGACACGCTAAGCAAAAGTTCCTGACCGTAATGTGCCGTCGCGGTTGCTGCAGGAGGGGAAGCGACGCACAGACACAATCCACCGTCGACCCCCCCAGAAAAAACATGGGAAGGCATGGGAAGGGGGGGCGAAGGCACAGATCCGGAGGATGTGAGAAACATCGAGGGGGCCCTGCTGCTCGTGCCCATGTCTTATCCGTGTGCCCCCCTGGGCTCCTTTTTCGTCTCCCGCGGCGCCCGGACCTGGGGCCCCCCCTGCGGCCGGCGCTCTGCTCGGCGGCCCCGCGCGTGCCGCGAGCCGGCAGGGCGTGCTGGCCCTGCCGTCGCAGGCTCTCTCGGGACCCCCCCGCCGCCGCGGCGGGGCGCCCGCGAGGAGCAGCCCGAGCGCAGCAGGCCCGCCGTGCGGCGCGCGGGGCTCCAGAGGCAGCGGCGCGCAGGAAGAGAGGAGGGGCTCCCCCGCGGGCTCCCTCGGGACCCCCCCGCCGCGGCGGGGCGCCGACGAGCAGCAGGCCCGCCGTGCGACGCGCGGCTCCGGAGGCAGCGGCGCGCAGACAGAGGAGGGGCTCCCCCGCAGGCTCCGCAGCAGTCTTTTACACAGCATCCCTGGGCCCCAGCACGGTGCACGGGCCGGCCGCGGCCCCTCGGCCGCGGCGGCGCGCGCGCCACGCCCAGGGGGGCCCGCGGCGGCAGCGCGGAGGCGCCCCCCCTCTTGCGTGTGCGCGTGGAGGCTCCGCCTGGCGACCCAGCTGAGACGTTGGTTCCTCCCCCCTCACCGAACCTCCTTATCACCCGAAGGGTGGTCGTATAGGTAGGTATTTCTGGATTCCCAGATTCCAATCTGCTCTAAGCGCCTCGAGTGGCTTCACCCTTTCCGTGCTCCTTCGGGGGCGGGCGGAGCCAGATCTTCTCTCAACGCCTTCCTACTTCATGTTTCTACCCACTTATTCCGACCTTAGCTGCCTCGATACGCCCGTTGTGATACGCAGCACGTGCCGTGCTCAAACCGTCCGTGTCAATACATTGCGTGTTGGCTCAGCGTATTGGCCCACGTTTGGCGAACGTATCGCGTCAGACCTTCGTTTTCAGTGTACGTGTTGAGTTCCGTATCAATACGCTACGTGTTGCGTGTTGCGCATCGGGGCAGTTAAGCTTCCGACCGATGGGCATTTGCAACAGCAGCTGTGGTCACTTGCCGTCGCCCGATTCCTCGCCTCGCCCGCTGGATAGGCGAACCTCCCCCGTGCCGCCCCCAGCGCTGCCCCCGACGCGCGCGCGCACGCCTAGGAAGGTGGGCCTCGGCGTCGATCCAAGACACCCGCGTGGACCTCCGAAGCAGGTCTGTTTACGCTGGTGTTCGTCCCACTGCCATCGCAGGGTTGGAGAAGCCGATCTACTTTCAACGCGCCTTCCTACTCCCATGTTTTCTACCCACTGCTTCCGACCGATGGGTACTTGCAACAGTGATTGTGGTCAGTTGCCGCCGCCCGGTTCCTCGCCTCGCCCGCTTGATCGGCGCTGGACCTCCCTGGTGCTGCCCCTGGCGCTGCCCCTGACGCGCGCGCGTGCGCGCGATAGGGAAGGGGGGCCTTGGCGTCGATCCAAGACACCCGCGCGGACCTCCGAAGCAGGTCTGTTTGCGGTAGGTTCGTGTCGCGTCGACCGGCGGCAACCCCGCCAGCGGCGTTCACCTTTGAACGCCGCGGGCGACCCAGAATCGTTCGATGTGGAACGATTTGGACGTTTCGGAAATGGCCGACCGTTCAAGGATGAACGATCCCTGCGGTGTCAGAAACCAGCGCCGAAGTCGGCACGACACGAACCTGACGTACGCTGGTGATCGTTTTCTTATTCATTGTTTTGCCGATCGGCGCGGGCCCTCGCACCTACTCCCCCCCTTTCCCCCTGGAGCGGATCCTGGCTGTTTTGGGCGCCCGTTTCGAGCAGGTGGAGTCCCTCCCCCTCAGACGACGCACTGTCGCAAACAGACGCACTGAGCAGAGGTCCAGAGCCAGACCCCCCCCCCACCCCCCCTCTTCGCTCAATGTCGAAACGACGAGTAAGAAACCTGTCACCTGGTGTTCGTCCCGCTACCATCGCACGGTTGGAGCACAGCGAGGGTCAAGGCCCGAAGATCGAAGATCTGGGGTCGAGGCGTTGTGATGCCTGTCGCTCCTGCTGAGCCTTCGCGGGCCTCGCGGGATCTCCATGGACGCCCAGGGACGTCCACGCGCGGGAGTTTTTGGAGACCTCCTGAGGAGCCAGGCCTGCAGCGTCCTGAACTTATTCGGGGACGTGCCCAACCCATGCGCAACAAGTGGCGACATCAACGGGCACTCTTCTCGTCGGCGGCGAGGCAGAAGCAGTCCGCTCCAGCGTGTTGCGCATCGGGGCAACCGAAAGGCGAATTTTCCAGCGTGCCAGAGGAAGTAAAGAAGACGAGGGCGGCCGCGCGGGGGGAGGAGGGGGGGAAGCACTCAGACGTGGATGCATCAACGGGCGCGCGTTCCTCTGCTAAAGTTGCATGTGCATGTTACGCGGAAGGAGGAGGCAGGAGGAGGAGGAGAGGAGGGAAGGAGGAGGAGGAGGAGGGGGAGGGGAGGAGGAGGGAGGAAGGAGGAGGAGAGGAGGAGGAGAGGAGGAGGAGGACGGCACCAGCGGCGGCAGGAGGGGCGACGAGGGAGCCGCAGGAGGAGGAGGGGGCGGCGGTCGGGCCAGCCGGAGGGTGGGCCACCTGGCAGGGCCCCGCTTCGCTTGCATCGGTGTGGTTCGATGTCGATCTGCCCTGGCGATCCGACGCGGCCCGATGCTTGCGCAGCAGCGGAGTTGCGCATCCGAGCGCAGCCGGTCCGATGCGATGTTGCTTCCGAGCCGATGTGGCCCAGTCAGATGCTCGATCAACGGAGCATTTGACCATGACCTTTCTCCTCCTCCTCCTCCTCCTCCTCCTCCTCCTCCTCCTGCTCCTCCTCCTCCTCCTCCTCCTCCTCCTCCTCCTCCTCCTCCTCCTACCCCTCACGGGTCGGACCACCCGATTTTTGGCGGAGCATGCTCCTTTCCGACTCACCCTTGTGCTCCCCCATGGTGCACCACATGACGATGATTGGGAGTTTGTCTCCTCCTCCTCCCGCCCCTGGTCTCTCTCGCATGCTCCTCCCGATTCATCCGCGGCAACCTCGGGATCAAAAGGAATCTTGGTTCGCTCTCTTCAGTTTCAGGGTCCTCGGACATCTGAACACCAGACACCTCGTTACCTTGCTACTACCTGCATCCTGACCACCATCCAAGAAGAAAAAACGCCATAAACATAAACTTTTGGCGCTCCGCGCGGATTTCCTGGATCCGCGCCTGGGCCCCCTCGGCGGCGCCTCAGGCGCCGCCCCTGGCGCCGGAGGCGCGCCAGGGAGGGGGGTCCAACGCTGATCCAAGAGATCCGCGCGGAGCACCACAAGTTTATATGTATGCCGTTTTTTCTTCTTCTACACCACCCCATGATGCTCCTCCGCGGCGCCCTGCTCGCGCTGCTGGGGCCGCAGCTCGCCAGGCGAGCGACGCGGAACAGCGGGCTCAACTGCGTCGGCACTCGCGCGCAAGCTGCCCGCGCATGCTGGCGCGTAAGCGCACTCGTTTCCGATGTGTCATGCCGCGCTGGCGGCCCGCGTACAGTCGGCGCGCACTGGCAGGTCGACCCTGCAAGATCGAGGGTACTCTTGTGTCCTCTGCGTGTTCGGACTAAGGGTGCCTTTGTGTCCTGTCGGTGTTGGAGGCCATGCTACCGTCGGAAGAGTCTCGTGTCCTGTCGCGTGTCCTCTCGTATGCGCTCCGACTTGTAAGCCACCGCGTAAGGTCGCTGTGTCATCTTGCGTGAGGCCTGCTTGTCTTCGTCGCTCAGGTCCCTCCAGGCCGAGCAACACGGACTTCTCGGCGGCCACGCCACGCTGGCGGGTGCCGCCGCGGACGCGGGCCAGGCCGTCGAGGACGGCGAAGGCTGCGCGGCGGCCTGTGGGATGCAGAGGGAGGCCTGGACGATCAAGTGCATGCGCCCGGAGTGCGCCGGCTGCCACGAGTGCGAGTACGGCATGCCCCCGCCTTCTGGGTGCCCACCCGGCGGGTGCCCTCCAGGAGGCGACCGGTGATCGCGCGCTCGGGCTCGAAGACCAAAAAAAAGCGCGCAGGCATAGGCTTTCGGAGCTCTGGGATGTGCCGCCTGGGCGAGTCTTGTTCATTGAAGACTGTAAAAATGGAGGCCGCCAGCCAAATCCATCGTTCAGTCACTTGCACGCCCGGATTGGCGACCGCGACAGCTGGGACACCGAGGAGGTCGGCGGAACGGCCGATGTTGTGCTCGGAATTGATGCCGTTCCTTAAAGTTGGTGACCTATTGCTTGCCTCGGATGCTCAAGACCAACTCGGCTGAAGGCAAGCGAGTTGTGCGTGCCCATTCCCGCCGAGCCGAGATCCGAGTCCAATAAGACTGGGGGTGGGCCTACAGTTTGGGGGGGGTCCTCCGTATGCCGGGGCTCGTGAGAGAGCATGTGGGTGCGAAATGTGATGTCAGAGACGAGGCCGAGTGCCTCCTGCAGTTGGCCCCCTCCTCCGCGCACGCACTTTCACATCTGAAGAATCGGACGACCACCAGTTGGGTCCCCCCCTCGGGGCCGTGAGCAAGTAAAAACACTTGCCCCGCGCGCGCGCCAGGCGCATGTTGGCTTCCCCCCGCGCTCACGTGTAAAACATGTGCTAACAAATCTGACAGCTAGAAGTTGGGTCTGGGGGTATTGGAAATGTGGAAAAACAAGTACCCCGCGCTCACGCGCCAGGCGCCTGTTGCCCCCCCCTCCGCCCACCTATCTCACCAGAACCACGCGCGCGCTTCGCGCGCGCTTAGGTTCGAGCGTGTCACAGACACAGGAATCGCTGCGCGAAAAAGTCTTTGGAGCTTGTCCCAGGCAAGTGAGGACTCCAGTGGCAACACCTGCTCGAGGCACCGCCGGGCACGGACCCTGCTCTCTCGGGGTGCCTCTTGGGGCGTCTTCGGAGCATTCGGGTGCCTTCTTGGCGTCATGGGAGTCGTCTTGAAAGGCATCCGGAGCCATCGGAGCGCGTTTTCGAGCGTTCCGAAGCCATGGTCGGGCGATCATGGACGGCCCCCAGCGCTCCAGCAGTGCTCCCGGCGCGCCAGGCCCCACATTTGCGGTCGGGGCTCCGGCCCCCATCCCCTGGACCCGGTCCCCCGTTATATGTCCACGCGTAAGGAATCATACGACTAGAGGGTGGGTCCCCACCTTGATGGGCCTGTCGTCGCGATATGCAATTGACAAGGCGTCTGAACGCATGCGCGCCGAGACGCGTGTTTCAGCCCACCCCTCCGCGCACACATTCTGACGTGAAATGCCGACGCCTGCTGCTCGACACCCTCCTGGTACGGGGCCGAAGGCTCGCCAACTCACAGAGAGCCCTGAGCGGAGTCTCTGTCTAGGGAAACATGGCCGCACGGAGGGAGGGCCGGTGGTGTTCAAAATGGTGTGCTCATGTTGGTGCCGCGCACGTTTGTCTTGAAAGCTTGCATCACTATGTGTAAGGATGGTTGGCCAGGGGTTTTCAAGCTGGGGTCCTCGCCGCAGTGCCGCGCACATCTGTCCGGAAAGCTCGCAGCAGCTGCGAGGATGCAGAGCCAGGGGGGGTCCGCGGTGGAGAGGAGCACCCGCAGGGACTTGGTGCCGAATAGGGTGTGTTGCAGCATCGTTGCGTCCTTGGTTGAATTACTCTGGTGCTCCTCCCTCCTTGCGCCAGGCAGACTTGGAGCGGGGTTCGCAGCGTCGTAAGGTCCTCCTCCTCCTCCTCTTCCTCCTCCTCCTCCTGCTCGTGGGGTGGACCCGCGCCCCCACCTCTGGGGGCCATTCTGGGCCTCCTTCACGGAGGGCGACTTCGAGGCCCACAAGACGCTGGGTCATGCATCAAGCGGCGACATCGACGCGGGCCGCAGCACGCACTGGGAGCGGCGGGCCAACGACCACGCCGACTCCTTCGCCAAGCGGGGCGCCGCCAGGCATGCGCTCGGCGAGTCAGACGAGGCCCTATGGCGAGGGCTGCGGGAGCTGGCGAAGGAGGCATGCCGCTGGAGCGCCACCCTGGAGGCCGAGCTGGGGGACGGGCAGCGACTGGACCACGAGGACCGGGGGGCCCCCAACCGTCCACCCTCCCCGAGACCCCTCCCGGGGCCCCCGCAAGTGGCGAGGGGCATGGGGGAGAGGTGTGGTGGAGCGCCCAAAAGGCACCGTGTTGGGGCCCGCTGCCGTCCATATGGCGCCCGTCAGGGTTAGCTTGGGCGTTTCATTCCTGGGGCCCGAGGGGGAGGGGGCCAGCCTACTTTTGCCCCCAACGCATTCAAGTTAAAGTTAAAGACCTAGACTGGGGAGGCAACTCCCCAGGGTTGGAATGCTGGCGCTATGCCGGTGCTCCCCTGTCCCACGTAAATGGGGGCAATTTCTGTACCATTTCTGCCCCCCTTCTGAAGGGGGGCGTGAAAGGGGGGGGGGCCTGCCCAAGATGGGGGGCCGCGGCATGAGGACGTGCTCCACGGACACGCCCAACTCAGCGAGGGCGCTGCCCCTGCAGCCGCCGCGGACGGCGACGTCATGCGTGAAGCTCCCGTCAGGGAGAGCCAGGCAGAGGCTGGTCGGGAAGAGCGGCCTGGGCAAGGGGACGAGGAGGCGGCGAGAGGCGAAGAGAAGGAGGAGGCAGCGGCGGCTGCTGCTGCAGCTCCGGGGGATGCCATTCCCCCCTCGGCTGCCGGAGGCACTCCTTTTGCCCCAGCCCCAGGGGCGGTGGCAGGCCCGTCCAGGTGGGGCGTGCCGCTCGCGCCGGAAACGGCGGCGGCCCCAGTTGATACCAAGCATGGGGCAGCCTCCCAGGGCTCAGACGCCTTCGGCTTCGGCGTCGACTTCAGCGAGGAGATGGCCCTTGCAAAGGAGCAGCCCCCCGAGAATGCATGCGAGGGCAGCGGGCCGGTCGGCGACACGGGTCCTGCAGGCCCAGCCGGAGGCGCGGCTGCCAGTCCCCAAAGCCAGGAGGGACGCGTCCCAGGGCACGTGGGCTGCACTTTGGCCTCGACGACCAGGTCCTGGCCAGGCATGCGTGGAGGGCTAGAGGGCACGCTCTCCTGCGCTGCCGAGTGGCGGAAAACCCCCAGATGCGCTTCGTGTTCTGCCTGCGGTGCGGCGGGGTTTTGGCGGGCCGCAAGCCCGGCAAGCTGCTCAAGAACTGGTGCCGAGGGCGGGAGTCCAGCGCAGGCAAAGAGCAGCTACGGCTGGTGCGCCTGTTGCGCTGGCCCCACTACGGCAAGGGGAGACAAGGTGGAGCGCTCGAGGGGCCCTTTGCCCTAGGGCCCGAGGAGCAGCTGCAGCTCGCAGGCGACCTCCTGCTGGAAGGGGA